CATGCTTTATTCTGATTTCTCTGATCATTCTTTTTATGCCACAGTCCATGTGAGAGAACATGAAAGAGACAGAATGGAAGTCTGAATGTTAATGAGAAAGTTAGCGCAGAGAAAGCAAAAAGGACTCTTAAAATAGAGCCCAGCAATCACCAGGAAACAACTTTATTTCTTCTAATATATATTTTGCCTGCCACACAGTAGTGTTGAGGGTAAATTGATTGATGTTTTAAAGTGCTTTCTGTTCCTCTGATGGAAGTTGCTATGGAAATGGAAAGCATACTTATTAGATATTTGCCATCACTTTTTGTTAAATCTAACTCTTCTAGACTCTCTTTATCTCAGAGTCTTACTGCACTCTTCAGCATCATATGTCATTAACAGACCCACAACAGGAGCTCTTCTGTGCTGTTCTGTGCACTTGCTTTCTGTTATATACATTTTATTTGGATTTCTGATTTTATAGCTGAACGGAGCTATAAAATCAGATCCATTTTTAGCCTTGGAGAAATCTCTGGCAGTCATTCTAGGGATTTTCATCATAATGAACAAAGTAGTAGTTCAAAGGTTGAAAGGGCTCTCAATTCTTAATTTAAATATTTATATCTATTAGTCTCTATATAACAATATGTAAATGTAGTTAAAACATTAGTGTCTTCTAACAACTTGGATCAGAGTTGCATCAAGGCATTTGGAACCCTGGAGTCATGTATATACAAGTATATACATAAAATTTTGTAGTCATTCAGTACGTTATGTTACTGCTACTACCTCAGGACTCTTTCCTTTTCCTGAAGTATGACAACAGCACTTGACAGAAGAGAGGAAAGCATCCATTTTTATCTCCGTTTGACCCCACATGTAGACATTCCCTTTGTTACATCTCTAGCTATAAGTTTTGATTTTTTCTCCAATTACTTTTTTTACTTGAGAGAAGAAACCCATGCCTTAGTCATCCAGAATAGTGAAAGTATTTGTTTGCTGCTTTTTTCCCTGATATATTTTAATGTGTCTTCAAGACATAAATTTTCCCATAATGCTTCCAAGAACAATAGAATAGTATGATTAGAAGGAAAAAGAGTCTAGCTCTTAAACAGGGTCTAGTTTACAGCTCTGAGACACAAACATGAATATTGTCTTGTGATACCTATAAACATGGATGGAGAATAGCTCTCCAGGAACATATGAAGAAGTAGGTGAAACTTAACTTGGAAGTGAACTGGGAAAACATATCCCCAGTAAAGAAATGCCTATGCTGAACAAGCACCAGTTATTAATCTGGAAGGGAGAAGTGTTGGCAGTGCTACTGCTTGGTTTTAGCCCTACTAGAAAAACATGTATGTGCAGCTGCTGCAAAGCTGAGCAAAGGCAGTTGGAGGTCCCTTTCCCCAAAAAGTGAACTTTTATTCTTTGCAACCACTCTTGTCTGTTGGGTCTCTGTTGCCCTATATTGGTGGGTGTCATTGAGGAAATAATGATAGTGAAGTGAAAGTTGTGCTCTGCTATCACTTCCTAAATCTTTCCTAGGAATAAATCAAGAGCCCCCCTGCCTTTCTTGCTCATCTGTTAAAAATCTTACAGTATAGTGTGGGGAATGCAAATGTTTTGGTATCTCTGCTGCTGGGACTGACAGTTTCTTAGCAGTTAGAGCAGAAAAAAATAAACCCAGTCACAATGAGGGGACAATATAATAAACAATGACCTTCATCTGTATTTCATTTTCTTTAAAGCTTCAAGAGACAAAGGAAAAGATTGTAGCTGGGTTGTCACAAACAGCCTGTAGGACTGTGTAAAGAAACTTGCTTTCAGGATTTGTTTCTGCTTCTAAGTTTCTAAAAGCTTTAATATTTTAAAAGATATTCAAATCTTTGAAAGAATTGCAGAGACTACTAGAACTTGACCACAGTTCTTGGTACAGTCAAAAATAATTTAAATCAGGTTGCTTAATATTTCTAAGGACTGAACAGTAACGTTGAAATAATTTCCAAAGCAGAAAAACAACTATTCTCTAATTTTTGTTATAAACATTTCTAGCATTTTAAGAGCCATTTAGGAAGGAGCAAAGGCATTGTCAGCAGGATGGGGTGGGGTGGGGAAGTGGGGGTGGGGAGAGTTCCTATCAATTCAGTACCATTTTCATCAAATTGTGAAATACATAAGCACTTTATTTGTGCTGCAGAAATGATCCTGAGTTGTAGTTAAGGGTTAAAAGGGCAGTTTGGGCAAAAAGCAGAAAAAGAAGAAGGATTGTGGAAAGGTTGCACAGTGTACTTAGTGCTTTGACATGTGCCAAGCGTCTATGGGATAATACTTCTTCATGTGTAGAAGGTCTCCCTTTTCCCCCTTACAAATTCCCCCTTACAAGTTTTGTTTATGATGATGGTAAGAAAGGAAAATAATAAGCAAAGGAAAAACATCCCACTTTTCTCTGACATCAGATGGAAAACAAACAGTTCTTCGCTGTTATAGACAGGATACTTTAAGAAGAAGTAATGTGTTCACTGTTCTGAAACATCTATTTCAGTACCAACAGATCATTAAAAGTCACCCAGATTTACTTCAGCATCAGAAGATATTGAAAGACGCATGTCTGAAAGTTTTATGTCTTGACATGTTTTTCAGATATAACTTATTTGTAAAAGAGGATGGCATTTATATGCTGAGGGTCAGCACACCACAATATTGTACTACAGATTTTCAATTTCACTTGAGTTTCTCCATCATCTTGCCACAGCTCCTGTGACATTTTGAGCTCTAGAAGCAAATATATCAAGCAAATTACCTTAACTTTGTTCCTCTGTAAAGCCATATAATAAAGACTTTTTTTTTAAGTAAGGAAATCACTCAATAAAAGGTGTGAGCTGATGTTGTAAAAAGTACATGTCTGTAGGAATGTCCTAAAAACGGTGATAAAAATGTAAGTATTAGTAATTTTTCTTTTCATGAGGCCTAATAATGAGATTTTAAAAATAAAATTAGACATTTCAAGTGAAATAAAGAGATTTTAAAATATCATGAGGAGATACAGTGTTAAAGTGCCAGATGCAGCTCTGATGTTGAAAATATTTACATATTTGTGTACCTTTACTTGACTGAGGAGTCCCACTAAGTAATGGGAAAACACTTCAGTGATTAAAGTCAGGCCTATAAATTAAAGTCAGGCCTTGCAGAGGGATCTGGATAGGTTGGAGAGCTGGGCGATCGCCAACCGCATGAAGTTCAATAAGAGCAAGTGCCGGGTCCTGCACCTGGGACGGGGAAACCCTGGCTGCACGTACAGACTGGGCGATGAGACGCTGGAGAGCAGCCTAGAAGAGAGGGATCTGGGGGTCGTGGTAGACAGCAAGTTCAATATGAGCCAGCAGTGTGCCCTGGCAGCCAGGAGGGCCAACCGTATCCTGGGGTGCATCAAGCACGGCATCGCTAGTAGGTCGAGGGAGGTGATTGTCCCACTCTACTCTGCACTGGTGCGGCCTCACCTCGAGTACTGTGTGCAGTTCTGGGCACCACAGTATAAAAAGGACATGAAACTGTTGGAGAGTGTCCAGAGGAGGGCTACGAAGATGGTGAAAGGCCTGGAGGGGAAGACGTACGAGGAACGGCTGAGGGCACTGGGCCTGTTCAGCCTGGAGAAGAGGAGGCTGAGGGGAGACCTCATCGCAGTCTACAACTTCCTCGTAAGGGGGTGTCGAGAGGCAGGAGACCTTTTCTCCATTAACACTAGCGACAGGACCCGCGGGAACGGGGTTAAGCTGAAGCAGGGGAAGTTTAGGCTTGACATCAGGAGGAAGTTCTTCACAGAGAGAGTGGTTGCACACTGGAACAGGCTCCCCAGGGAAGTGGTCACTGCACCGAGCCTGACTGAATTTAAGAAGAGATTGGACTGTGCGCTTAGTCACATGGTCTGAACTTTTGGGTAGACCTGTGCGGTGTCAAGAGTTGGACTTGATGATCCTTAAGGGTCCCTTCCAACTCAGGATATTCTATGATTCTATGATTCTATGATTACTGGGTTTTGTAACTGGACTGTAGAGAACAGGAAGTTAATGCTGAGGAAGTGTTAAAACAGTAGCTAAACTATTGTCAAAATATTTTAGTCTAGAAAATACCTTGGTTGGTTGTTCTTATTAAACAAATGAACAAACCCATTTTCCAGTGTGTTATAATTGCAATTAATTTCATACTTAAGATATGAATCTATCTTTGTTAATAAGTAATAGATGAAAACTATTTTTCAAAGGTTAGCAGCAGCAATGAATGTATTTTATTTAACAGTTGCACTTCCCTCAAAACAGGAAAACAGGTCTAATTTTTTGTTTCATCTCATACAGTATTTTTCATCCAATGAATGGGAAAATTGCTATTTTTTATTTATATTTATTTTTTTTTCTAATGCAGTTCGTACCGTGAGCCAGAACAGCAATAACAGATTACACTACTTGTGATTACTGGGCACAGTTAGGAATACTATTTGTATTTCACCTGATAGAGTATGATGAGCAAAAGCCATTACAGGTGTCATTTTTACAAGAACTGTGGAAGTGCTACATCTTTCTATTTTTGTAGAGCTAGATACTCACTTAAAAAATGATGGAAGAAGTCAGGAGACTGGTTTAAATCATGAAAGACTTTCTTAGGCAAAAGTACTTTTTTTCCCCTTCCTTCCCTTCCCTTCCCTTCCCTTCCCTTCCCTTCCCTTCCCTTCCCTTCCCTTCCCTTCCCTTCCCTTCCCTTCCCTTCCCTTCCCTTCCCTTCCCTTCCCTTCCCTTCCCTTCCCTTCCCTTCCCTTCCCTTCCCTTCCCTTCCCTCCCTTCCCTTCCCTTCCCTTCCCTTCCCTTCCCTTCCCTTCCCTTCCCTTCCCTTCCCTTCCCTTCCCTTCCCTTCCTTCCCTTCCCTTCCCTTCCCTCCCTCTCCCCCTCCCCCTCCCCCTCCCCCTCCCCCTCCCCCTTCCCCTTCCCCTCCCCCTTCCCCTTCCCCTTCCCCTTCCCCTTCCCCTTCCCCTTTTCTTTTTTCCCTTCCATGTTGCTGTATGGTATGAAGAAAGTATGAACTTTTGGTGCTGAAACTGTGGCTTTGTGAGTAACTTTGCTTTCTTCCTCTTACAAAATTTAACACTGTTAGACTATGATGGATTAAACTTTTGGGGATACTCAAAATAATAACCAAAATGATTTCTGCATTAACAAACCTCTTCATGTGATGGAGCACTGGCAAATTGCCCAGAGAGGTTATAGAGCCTCCCTGCTTGGAGATCTTCAAAGCCACCTGGACATGATTCTGGTAACCTTCCCCGGGTGAGTCTGCTTTAGCAGAGGTTGGACCAGATGTCTTCCAGAGGTCCCTGCCAAACTCGGCCATTCTCTGATGCTGTGATTCTGTGCAGAGACTTTACAAATGCCTTCATGTTCTCTGTTCTTCTTTTGTTCTCTGCTGCATCTCTAGAGCTTATACAGACCTTTTGACTGAATTTGAATCATTGACCTGAAAAAAAAAAAAAAAAAAAAAGAACAGTAAATGCATCTAGAAAAGAAAATACATTGCTGTAGTCAACATTTCTGCTTGTTGCTTGGTAGATGGCATTAGGTAGGGTGAACAAATCCATCAGTTTAACCTTGCTGTGTTACAGTGATAAGTTTTTAATCTGTTTTTCTTCTTTAGTATCCCAAGGGGGGAATTTATCAACCACATAATGAATGAGAAAGTTGTTTCAGTATTTTTATTGGCCAGAAACCAAACTAGTTTTACAGATTCCAGGACTGAGTACAGCTTGGGGGCTGAGAACTTAATAGTTTCTATGTAGTTGCCATATATTCTGAGATTATTTGATTGATTAATGATTTTTAGTTAATGCATACATTTTTCCTACTGCTCTGTTACCAAAATTCTGCACTTACATCTAGCCAGAGAATGGAATGTATAAGAAATTTTGTAATAGATATGAAGAACTACATTGTGTATGTGTACATAACTCTCTAAATCAGTTTGCATTATAGGTAGTTTATCTGTTTCCTTACCTTAGGTAAAATAGAAGATCTGTTACATCAAATCTGTTAGATTTGATAAAATACAGACGTATTGATGTTTCTTCTTTCTGTGTTTCCATCTTCTTCCTTGTTTGGTATTACAGCAGCAAACAACATAGAAAAATCCATTCTGAATAACTGAAAATGTAAGTGTCCTCAGGGTATACAAAACTAAAGGTTATTTTGTATGCATAAAGTTTACAACATATAATGCTTAGGCATATATATTTTACAACATATAACATATAACATATAGTTTACAACATATAATGCATATGCATGTGTTCTCCAGTTAAAAGATGACATAGTGTATGCTTACATATTATAGATGATGTATATGCTTACATTTTGTCTTTGGTTGTTAGTTTTATGGTTTATACTTTGTATTTTACATACTTTGTTATGAGATTCAGAAGCAACACCAGAGTAATTGGAATAAAATGGAAAAATAATAGATATCTAGATTCTTGGAAATGCATTTAAATTTTCTGTTACAAAACTATATGATAAAAATAATGCAGTACTTAGTGTGCTTTTGGTTACAGTAAAAAAAAAAGTTGTTGTTGTTTTCTTTTTGTTGAAATAAACAATTAAACAAACAAATTTTGGATCAAACACAGGTGCTAGATTGTTCTGGCATATGCCAGATATAGGCCTCTCAGTATATGCCAGAAAAAAAGGCAAACAAATTCTAAGCATACATTTTAGCAGTCATGTCAAGTTTACAGTAGTTTAGCAAGTTTGTCTGTCCCCCTACTTAGACAGTCATGATGACACATGCGAGACATCTTTTAGCATAATAAGATATAAATGTGATATTGAAGATTGATCCATATTCAATTATCAGGTTAGTAAAAATCTCTATATATATTCCCTGTACCACTTGCTAATATGTACTGCAATTTTAAAAAAGTATAGTCAAAATACTATTATCTCCTAAGCTCTTGGTATAGCTTAAAAAAAGTAAACATGACCTTTAAAAATATATATGTTTTACTACTTTATGTATACTGTAATTAAAAAAAAAAAAAAGTTATTGCAGTTGAAATAGCAAATAATTATCTAAAAGCTTACTCTGAGTATTTTAACATGTAAACAGTAGAATATAGTTGCTGAACATGCTTCTGAATCAAAACATCTTTGTTTCTTCTGGAGGAAATCTACTAGGGGCTGGAGCACCCAAGAACTCAGTCAATGAAGCACTGAGCCCAGACTGAAAAGCTGTAGAAATTTATTTGTTTTTTAATTTGTTTGTCTGTCTGTCTCTTAATTCTTGTTTGGCCATATCCAGACATACTTACGAAAAACATCAGTGAAGTTACAGTCAGTAAGTTTCTTGACTGAATACCGGTCCCAGTCACAAAAGATGCATTAAGATGACAGAATTTTCTTAAAATCTGTTGTGCTGATATTGCTGAGTTAGCATATCTTTCACAGATACCAATCTGCAGTATCAACTGGTCCAATTTATCAGGTTTACTACACTCACAAGACAAGTGCTACACAATATTTTGTGCAAGCATCAGAAATCCTGATATATGTAATACTTCTCTGCTTTTCTGGCATTTGTCTTCTCCTGAGGCAGGAGACAGGTTGCACAGTTCTTTAGGATGTTACTGTGCAACTAAAATCTTATTGGAAATTTGTTTTTAAGGTCTTAATGTATTCAATATCCTCAAGGCTTGTCTTTTTTAATTCTTGTCATGTTTAGAAATAAGGGCACGGAATTCCACAGGCCGAAGATCTGTATACACCATATAGCTGTTCTTTTGCTTTTATCACACATTGTGGGATAAATGGGAAGAAATTAAGAAATACATACACAATCCATTCCTGTGACTTGCAAGGCCTATGCAATTTAATGAGTGCAAGAAAGTCCAGCATGTGCAAGAAAAGAACACCAGTGAAATTATGGTCCTTTCCATCTCTACTTTGGCTAGAAATATCAGTTAGGGGCCATTCCTAACTGAAAGCTGTGTTTATTAAGTTTATAAAAGCTCAGATCTGACAAAAGGCTAATAACAGCTCTTAAATCTAACACACATTTTTTCAAAGCTTGTTCCTGAAGCTGTAAATTTATCATGAATAACACATAAATAAAAAGAAACTGATACAAAATGTTCCATACTCACTATAAGGGAGCTGTTTCTATCAATAACAGTGAAGGACCTATCCAAGAGCCTGTTTAGAGTATTTATTAGTTTGCATCTTCATCTACTTTCCTTGTCCTACTTGTGACACTCTCCCTCCTGAAGATCTGTTTCATTGCTTAGGTAATAAAGAATTCCCTTGTGTCAGGAACGGAAAGGAATTAGAATTTATTTGTCACAGAAATCACAGATTTCTTAGCATGGCAAATTATTTTAGTATACTGGTTTCTATATAGCTGCTGAGAGATGTTAAAACTTGTATGCCTATGCAACATAAATGTTTATTATTTTTCTTTTCAGGTATGGAATAAAAATAGTCACAAATTCAAATTGCTACAGAGGCTCTCAGTTGAAACTCAGCATCAATATTATTTTATAACAAGATGTCTTGCTTATTCCTTGATTAATAACCTTGATTATTCCAGGAACTAATTGCCACTGAAACTACGCAATGCTGACCCACTGATTTCTGAATATTAAAAATCTGACATGGAAGGAGAGAAGAGATTTACAGAGAGCTCCTTTAACAATAATAAGTAGGCAAAATATCATCCTTAGCACTTGTCCAAAGCAGCTGCACTGAGGGACAATGCCATCTGAGCACATATTCAAGTATGGTGAGTCCTTCGAGGTCATATTCAGAGTCACAAGTAGGACTGTGTCTGTTTACAATATAGTTTCTTTTTCTCCTGAAACATTTACTCCAAGACATCATCTGTGAGAAACAGAGCTCTGCTTTCACAGTATATCTCCTCTTTCTGTTCTGTAATTTACTCAGGTTTTAGGATAAACTTTTTGTAATTTTTAGAGAAAAAGTAAATAAGCAAAAAATATTGTACTATTATATCACAAGCAATTGGAACTGCTGTTGTTGCATAGAGGAAATATATGTTTTCCAACTGTTATATTTCTTCTTTTTTATTTGGAGATGATGAATGTTTGTGAAAAACAAAACAAATGAAAACAGTCCCCAATCTATCAGTGGAATATACAGGCAGTAAATAGGTAAGTAAATGAAGTCTACTTATAGTATGGTCAGGTTCCCTCTTAGCCCCTTTTGAACAAATGTTCAGTATCACTTTGCTTCTACTTCTTTTTTTTTTTTTTTCCTTTTTTCCTTTTTCATTTTTCCTTTTATATTTTTTTCCTTTTTTCTTTTTCATTTTTTGTCCTTTTTCTTTTTTATTTTATTTATTTATTTCCCCTCCCCTCCCCCCCCGTTTTTCCTTTTTCCTTTTTTCAAGTGAAGAGTAGAGCTCCTTTTTCAACCTTGGGTAGAAATGTTAGCCCTGACTTTTGCAATAAGCTCTTTTGGACTGCATACATACCATGCCATAACAGACATCACTGTCTTGAGAATGAAGTGTTCTTGTTTATTGAAGAGCAATGTCTATTAATAATTATATATATATATATCCATTTTATCTAATTACTCAAAAGATAATCTGACAAACGCAAATATTCACAGATTTATTTGATGACTACTGACCCAAACTCAGCTCTTCAAAGACAGCATTTACCTTTTTGTCTTTTGCTGTAAATATCATGTTTATGTGCATCCATTTATGAAGAGCAGCAAATCCTCCCTGCCAGAGGGAAGCATGATCCAAGCAAAGAGGATGATCTAACTTATGAGAGTCAAGTGAAAGACATATGCCTCCTTGTTGAATGTCCTTCAACCTGTAACTCCAATAAAAAAAAAAAAAAAGTATTAAAACATGCCAGTTTTATTAAGCAACATAAATCCACTCTATATTATGTGGGTTAAACTCTGCTACACCTGAACATTACTGCAGCAGATGTCCCTTGCTTTATAACATCTCAGACACTAGTCTGTAGTGACAGGTTTTGAAGTTGCCTCAATTAAGGTGTATTTAATTTCTTACTCTAGATTTAATAAAAAATGCTAAGATGTCCTTGGAGAAGAGGAGAAGAAACTAGTGAGACAAGTAAAAACAAAAACAAATACAAATACCTCCACCAACAGCAAAAACAACCTACTACAGTTTATGTGATTTGTTCACTTTGCCCAAATCAGAGTTTCAGAGTTAAAAATATTGTCATTGTTTTTAATAAAACAACGTTGATTTTTTTTTTTTTGAGGAAAAACTTTATCTAGTCATGTACCTGTCATTTTGCATCCCTACTTGCATTATTCTGTGGCTTGTTTTCTTGTTACTGTTCATATTCAGAAGCATCACAGTGGCTTGTTTGCTTTTCTTGGGTTGAAAAGAACAAATCAAAAAATGGACAACTATATATTGCTGGCTTGACAGCTGTTACTGGTTTTAATAAGTTTTATTATGTGTGTGTCTGTGTGTGTGTGCATTTATTAACACCTGCTTGTTGTAATTTTACTCTTTTTCACTGTTGGGGTCTCTAATCTCATATATTCATGTCATATTAATTCCTAAGATCTTTAACAATGAACCAAATTTATCAATGGATTATCATTATAGTTTGCATTAAACAAGCACACAATCAAAAAACCCTACACCTCACCTCCTTTATTTAATTATGCAAAAATTGTCCTGTGGACAATATGAATTTATATCAATTTATATTAAGAGAATTTTTACTGGAAACTAAGTATAATCAAAGGGAAATATGTGTTATGACCAACAGATACTGTAATGACTCATGAAACTTGAATGTTATATAAAGACTTTGCCTATAGAAAATTAATTATCAAAATTCTGCAGAATAAAACTGCAAAATACCTGGAGAAAACAAACTAACAAATAAGAAAATAAATAAATAAATAAATAAACCACCCTCCAGTGAGATTTTGACATCAGGTAAGAATCTGTCTTATCTGGCAACTTGAATATTCTGATTCTATTTTTTTTTTTAAAAATGAAATTACACCATGATGAGAACACTGATTCAAGAAAATTTCTTTCCTAGTTTTAGACTATAAAAGATTTCAGATATGAGTGTACATTTTTTTCCTTGGCTGGTATAAGCTCCACACCATGAGACTTTAGAGACAATGAGACATGGAACATTGAGGTATCTCCAACAGCTGGGCACATCAGTACCTACATAGCACCATTTCATTTACCCTGCTTTCAGTTTCAATGATTTATATTTGGAAATACTGGAATAAACAAAGGGGTATTTAAACAGATGTAATGGCAAATACATGGATTCCTTACTGTAATGGCAACCCATACAGGGTTGTTGATTCTGTTTGGGGAAGCATAAAGTTTCTCTGTTTATTCTTTGTTTTAGAAAGTTTAGACTTACTTTCAAAGTAAAAGTGTGTAAGTACTCAATGAAGGTCCTTCAAAATCATTTTCAGTCTAATTTTCCTTTTGTAGAATAGCTGAATGATCAGAGTTTTGTCCACTTCCAGCAGATTTGTTGGGATAATTTTTACTTTCAGCTGGTGACAGAAACTCTTATGTCTATAGCGTTATTCCATTTGTACAGCATTTAGTTTGCAGTTTGAGAAAACACACAATATTCTAGGTACAAAATGAATAGATAAATGAGGACATGACTGTTGATGGCTCTGTGCTTTCATTAGAGAGGAGAAAAACACACTGAAGGATGAACTGAATTTTATGAAGTTATATTAAGTAGTATTTCAAACTTTGCCATTTTTTTTTTTCCACAAAGATTTTCAGTTTTCATGACAAAAGAAAAGAAAACAGGAAAGTTTTGCTTTTACAAGTATATAAATAATGACAGAGGTTCTTTATATTTATACTAATGTTGGTTGCAGGCAGCTGGGTTTTCTCTTTGTTGAATCTCAACGTGTAAATTAAGCCATAGTGCAATGGACTATATCACCTATTGAGCACTTTTGAATCATTTCTTTTACATTGCCAACTCCAGTCACCTTTTGCAGGCAAAACTCTTGGCTATTGATGCTAATTTAATTTATAATATTGAATTTCTACTATTTTATTACTAAAAAAAAATCCATCATTTGCTGAATAGTTTAATATATTTAGTAGCACACATTCTTGTAAATTCTGAATAGATTGCAAATGATTTGATACAGAAGTTAGAGAAAATTCTCAGTGACATGATTTAAACAAAAGGAAAAATGTTAATTGAGTCTGTTGAGATAAAAGATGACTTGGGTGAAAGTGATGATGAAATCACTGAGACCATGATACTCAGCAGTAATACCAGAAGCACAGAAGTAGCCATTCTGCAGCAGAAGTAAACATGCAGAGCAAAAAAATAATAAATAAAGGGAAAAATAATTAGATTTTGGAAAAGTAGACTCAATCATTAACTAGTAAATAAAGATCCCTGGGAAACTGGCTTAAGGGAAATGAACAGAGGGAGCTGACTGTTTCTCAAGGGAACAATAATTTAGTTGCACAACTGCAAATTAGCCATTTCAGAAGAAAGACACATTATAGTAAGAGACCAGATTGGAATCCAGCAGTTTTTAGAGAACAATATAGCTTGCGCACATCAGTACGTCAGAGGGATTACTTCATAGTAAGTAATAGTTTATAGGTAAGTCATCCTCTTTTCCTAAGTTCAGCCAAAGTTATTGTAATTCAAGAAGTACAAGGCAAATGTATTCTAGCACTGTAGTTCTGCAACCTGACTGCCCTAAGGACTCACCAGCATCCCCTGAATGCACAGCCTAGACCCAACTTCTTGGTTCTGCAATGCAAGTTCAGGGGGCTGCGGGCACTGCCGGCTCTCAAGTACCAAGGACATTCTTTGTCACAGCTACTGTCATGACAACATTTGTACTACAATATATCCTGTATAGAAGAGAAAATATATTTCAAGTGGACTTTAAGAAGTAATGTATTTTAGTGAAGAAAGTAGCAACACAGAATTGGGAATAGACAGTGGTAATTGAAACAAGGTGGAGGCAGCTGCTGGAAGCAAACCATTAAAATTAACACAAAGGCTAAAGACTGGACATTGTGATGCCAGGATTTAGAGTGTGATTTGATTAGATGTGTTTTTTTCAGTAATTACATGTTGTCCATGTACTTCTATGAATCACAAGAAGTGTTGGCCAAACTGCTCATGGCTTGCTTTCTTTCCTGTTGTTTACTAAACCAAAACCAGTCTCCTGACTTACAACACTACCAAGCTCGAAATCTGAATCTTTTCTTTGTATCCTTCCCTGTTTAGTTAGGATTAGTGTGAAGACTGTGAGTATAAATTAAGAAAAATAATAATAACAGTAATAATATTGGTGGATTGTACAGCTATTTCCTTCAGTGTGCTTTATAAATACAACTATTGAGTTATAGTTTTGGTATAAATCATCAGAATTTCAGGAATCTAGAGCCCATGCTGTTTATTCTGAAATGAAGGTGGTGGTTTCCCTTCCCTTCCCTTCCCTTCCCTTCCCTTCCCTTCCCTTCCCTTCCCTTCCCTTCCCTTCCCTTCCCTTCCCTTCCCTTCCCTTCCCTTCCCTTCCCTTCCCTTCCCTTCCCTTCCCTTCCCTTCCCTTCCCTTCCCTTCCCTTCCCTTCCCTTCCCTTCCCTTCCCTTCCCTTCCCTTCCCTTCCCTTCCCTTCCCTTCCCTTCCCTTCCCTTCAAAACAGATTATCAGCTTTCTTCCACATTGTGTCCGGAAGGGAATTTTTTCCCTGTTACGTAGTTTTCCTTTCCCATTAGGTTTTGCTAAATAAAAAGTATCCCCAAGTGAGTAGGCATTTGCTTTGTTTCTTTACAGACAAACTCCAGGAAACATACAGTTAGGGATATGCCTTTTAAACTAGGTTTAAAAAGAAAGGGAAAAACAAAACCAAAAATAATTTAGAATTGTATTTTTCTTATTTGAAATAAACTTAGCTATATAACCTAAAATTTGAGAAGGGAAGTACGTTTTAATGCAAGTTTGTTTTTGCTGCTGTGAACTATCTTTACTCTTTATCTTGGGATGATCAGTTCAGACCAGTGTTTCAGGAACAGTAACAACTTAGTAAGGGTAAAAAGTGCAGCATTTTGGCTTAAAGCAGCATTGACAATCTCATAAACATCTGAAGCTGCTCCCTCCCTCCCTTCCCTTGTGAACAAATATTATGAGTACAATGTAATCTTTTTTTCACAAATAATTGTGCATTGTGGAGGGACCCCGTGTAACCATATGAGCAGTTATGCAATTACACTTGCTTTACCTGACTGAAATCTTGACTGCCACACTGCAGGAGCAAGTCAAAGAGACTGGTTAAAGTTGAGCTGGCTGAAGAATAGTCTATTCTTTTGCAGAGAACTAATTCATTCCACTGCTCTAGTCTTTGAGTCAACTCCTTTCCAATAATTCCTGCATCCCATGCCACCTAGCTAAGTGGGGAAAAAGCAATTTTTAATTAAATTCAATATTAGGCACAAGAAATTAGCCCATTGTTGTTAATTTTTCCCATGAGCTCAATATTATATGTTTGTGTGAAGAAAAGAAATTAAATCAACAATGATAAAACTTACCCCTTGCTTCTCTCTAAAGCACTAAAACTGATAAATCTTTGTACTGCTGCTGTGAGTTACAGAAGCAACTAGAAGGCTTAAGGAATTGTTTTTTCCTCCATGAAGGCAAAGAACACACAGCCCATGCATCTACATCTCCAACCATTGTTGTGCATTTGCTCCAGTGGGCTGAAAGAAAGGTTGCTGAGAAGGGAACTTGCAGGAGCTTTATGTTTTTGCTTTTGTGACAGCATTCTGCACAAAGAGTATACTGATACATAAATTCAAAAGCTAATGTGTGAAAATTCAGAAGCCTCCTGGGAAAAAAAAAAAAAAAAAAAACTTTTTAATTTCTGATTTTTTTTTTTTAAATTTTATCAAGCACTTGGAATATTGAAATGAAAATAATCTCATTCTTAAGCATTTATGTAATTCTGTTGTGTTGTCTCCATTTGGTGTCATCTGTGTCAGAGTAATGTCTCCCTTTTTCCTTTTGGAGATAAGCAGTTGCAAGACTGAAGAGAGACAAGTAGAAACTGGTGGTCTAGACTCTGTGAACATGTTTTGAGTGTTGCAGGAAAGAGGGAGTTCTAGTTTTAATGAATTTATTCCATAGGTGTGGAAGAACTACATGAGCACAGCACAGCTACAGCTGTTGGCAACACAACTCCAGAGGAAACAGTTTTGGAGATCAGCCATACTGGAAAGTCTCTGCTTTTCTCCTTAACTCCAGAAAGTCTGCATAGAACTGTCTGGTACTGGAGGTTAATACTGTAATTCTTTAGAGAAGTGGGAGTGCTCTCCTTGGGTGAGTTTGGTATCTGCTCTGCATGGCACAGAGATGAAGTAGTATCCACTTATACAAGTGTTTCCTTCCTTCCACAAATGCGTTAAATTCATTTCTTTAGTTTTGTACCTCAAGCAATGCCAAATAGAGCATCCTAAAGGGTGGTTTCAGGTGGGGATGGGCTGCTGATTGGATAGCTAAGAGGCCATGGGCACTAATGCTTTTAGAAGTTTGCCTCCTCTACCTTTCACATGTGGTCCAGAGTTTAGTTGATGAGAAAATTCAAGTCAAGCTGAAATTTTCTGCTGGTAAGATTAGCAGAGATACTTATTGGGGAAGGATGTTTCTTTTGCTGTTGTAGTTTTCTGCAGTAGAACAGAATACGGTCTGTCTGAAAATGGTTTATGACAAATTCCCAACATTACAAGCAAAAAAGTTGCTGATGGTGCTTTTTTTGTGCTGTTCTCATGGGTGCAGCTGTGCTTTAGTATTGGCTTTATATTTGCTCTATTGGGACACACAGTGGATGTTATCTCATGCTTTGGAGCTATCCAATCTTTATTTTACATTTTTCTGTGAAGTACCAAGTGTATACTTAAGAGCACTTGTAACAGATAAACCTTGGGCATTTTGAAGCTGTTTGTACTACATTTCTGTCTTCCAAATACAGATAGACTATTTAAATATGCAAGTATTTTAATATCTGAACCTTTCTGTCTCTTACATTTTGTTCTCCATTTTCATTAGATTTTTTTATTTTATTTTTTTTTACATACAATCAGTGTGTCTTTCCGTGTGCTCTTTTTAGTTTTAATAGGAGCAGAATAACTGTAGAGCAAAAGGATTTAGATGTGTGGAATGTGAGTTACAGAAGAAAATGCTTTTGGTAAATATGCTAATTTAGGCAGTTTGTTGCAGTTCATAGGGACTGTCCACACATTGCAACAAACAGCTCATTTTTTTTTTCCTCTGTCATAATTTTCCTCATTTGGAATGTGTGGAGCATGGCAATAATTCTTTGGTATAAAAGGTCTCTCTTTGAAATTCAGTCTTCATGTGCTACTCTGGTTTAACTGATATTGTAATCAAAAGCTATATGTGTGTGTGGAGTGACTTTGAACTAGCTGTGGCTGATAGTAAGGATACACACCTGCTGGTGTCCTTGATCCATCCCACATGGGCTCAAAGACAACATCATGCCTGGGAGAAAAAAGGAACTTAATTCATGGAGGCCTCATACTTGCACATCAGATGAATGTCCTGTAAAGGGTCTCTGCATAAAATCTTCAATGAATTTTCACTTGCACTAAACTCCATGACTGTTCTGATATGGACACAAGAGCAAGTCAATTTAAGACTACTTGATTGAGCCTATACAAATGATACATACATCTTCTGTGTTTCATTTTGGATCTTTTGACTGCTGGTTATTGGCCATATTTTTACTTTTTAGAAAAATATGTACCCTCAGGTAAAAAAGAAATAGTCCAGACCCAAAGAACATGAAGTTTGTGTGGACAGCCTTAGGAATCACAAAAAAGACATTTGTCTGTCAGAGTAAGAAGCTGAACTGGAGCAAATATGGAGGACACAACGAGGTTAGATTTCCTTGTAGCAGCTCATGACCTTATCATCATTTTCCCAGTCACTCCTGTGTGGCCCTCTTACCATCCATTTCTTAGCTCAGCATATCTTTCCTCAAACCAGCCAAAAAGTCTCTCCAGGTCCATAACCCATTGTCTTAATGGACATGTAGTAATCACTGTTAAACCTGAAAATGGAGTTTGTGACATTGGAAGAAAATATTTGTATTGCCCATTTTGAGGACAAATAAATTCTTCATTGGCATTTTCACTTTCTTATGGTTATGGTAATGCATTTAATGTATCAGAAACATTACCACTTCTGTCTCTTGGGATCTCCTATTTTTCACGTCTCTACAGAGGGTCTGTAGTTATCTTTGGAAATTGTATAGATCACAAGAAACCATGATTAACAGGGATTTGCATTGGCAAGAATAATTCTAAGGGTAGCTGAGTGGAGTTGGGAGGGAAGTGAGAGTTCATTTGCTCTAGCTCTAGTTAGATGGCAGATACTCCATGATAGATGAGCATTTTAGTGTTCACTGGTGAATAGTGCATGAAAATGCTGTAGTTTCCAACATTTTTTCCAATCATTACTTTATTTTCCTGGATTACCAAACATTTACCATTTTCATTTGAAGATTTATTGAAAGAAATGATATCAGGTGGTTAAAAAAAAAAAAAAAAAAAAGGAGTATTTGCAAATAGTAACTGAAAGGGTTCCTCCAGATTTTGGAGTGACGATGTCTTTAATTCAAAGACAACATGAGCTTTCAAAGGTAAGTAGTGGATGAGAGATGTTGTCAGGAAGGTGTGAGGGCTGGCTCCCCCATGAAATGAAGCCACTCCTGAAATATACATTTATTTTATTTTATTTATTTATTTTTGAGAAGAATTGTCTTCCCTGTGTTGGAAATCAGATTTTTTCCTGAGGGCCACAGCAGTGTTCCAAGGGTGGGTGCCCACTGCAACCTCCTCCAGTTACCCCTGTCTCTCAACTGCTGCTTTGGCACAGTGCAGGGAAGAGAAATGCATCCATGGGCTACTCATAACGGGCTTCTGAAGAAATTATTGCTTTTTGTTTTGTTTCAGCAAACTGAAGATAGTGTCCTACAGGCACAGAATTGAAAAGGTGGTATCAGTGTATCTCATTACAAAAAGCATTTGCAAGCAGGTGAACTTCAGAATGAAAACCTTTTCTTCAGCTTAAGGAGGAAGAGCTTCAAAAGCCCATTCAGTCTCTTAGTCCTTTCATGAAACCACAGCTGCTCTCCTTTCCTGACACACTGATTTGGCAAATGACTTTTTTTTAAAAAAAACAACAACAAACAACAACCAAAAAAACAACCTCCATTGAAGAAAGTTTCAACTGTTCAACTTTGTTATCCTATGAGGCATTCCAAATGTCCTCAGCTGTTGTAATATAGCCTATCACTACTTGTCCTGTCCTCAGTTAACAGGCAGGATAGGTGTCACAGTTTTGGCCTGGATAGAGTTATTTTTAAAGGCTCATATGATGCTGTGTTTTGAGATTTTTAATGAAAATAACAATGATAACACACCAATATTTAGTTGTTGCAGAGCAGTGCTTAAACAGAGCCGAGGCCTTTCCTGCTCCTTGTGTTCCCTGCCAGTGAGGAGGCTGGGGGTGCACCAGGAGCTGGGAGGGGACATAGCCAGGGGAGCTGGCACAGACTGGCCAAAAGAATATCCCACACCATGTGGTGTCATGATGAGCAATAACAGCTGGGGTAAAGAAGGAGGAAGGGGGGGGATGTTCAGAGTGATAGAATTTGTCTTTCCAGGAAACCATCATCCATGATGAGTCCTGCTTTCCTGGCAGTGGCTGAATTCCTGCCTGCTGTTGGGAAATGATGAATGGATTCCTTGTCCTGCTTTGTTTGCCCCATGGCTGTTGTTTTGCCTAGTAAACTGTCTGTATTTTAGCCCATGAGTTCTCACACTTTTACCTTTCCTTTTCTCTCCCCCATGCCAACTGGGAGAGTGAGCAAGCAGTAGTGTGCTGCTGAGCTGCCTGCTGGGTTAAACCACAACAGGGCACTGCTTATCCTATCCTCAGCTTGTTACCTTCTGCCTTGATTCTCTTGTTGGGAAAAAATGGATATTAAAATCTCCTTTACCATGATATCCCTGCAGCACCATCTTGAATGTTGGTTTCATTTGTTTTCATAAATTTATTATATGGAACAATCCTTTTCTGTTAGTTCCTTCCATTATGAGAATGGCTCATACAAAGCCTGAAAAAAAAATTCTATGAAAATAGGCGCTAGTTGATTTCCAAGCTAGCTTTTAGGAACCATCCTTTATCCCCATCCTGTTTTTCCTTTGAAACGAAAGTTGTAAAAATCTGTATTGAAGACCATGGGAACAAAGAGGGAGGGAAGAATAAATGTGTTTAAATAAGAATTAAAGCAGAAGACAGATCCCCTCTAATGCTAATAGATTTCCTATAACCATCATATACTCTAAAATCAATCCCAGAAGCAATTGAAACACTTGACTAATATAGCTTAATTGACAGTTTGAAGAAAAAGAAATCATATACGACTGAGTTTATTGAGATCTGCATAAAGTTAAATATGACCAAAGGGGATTTAGACTACTAACACTACAATTAACATAAGACTGAAAAAGGGATTGAAAAAGGCTTTGCTTAAACAAAACCAAAAGTTTATTCAAAGTTAATATTGTTTAAACACACTGGGTTATTCTCTTTATACTTTGCATAACAGGAGGTATTTTCCCATGACAATATTTGTGTCAATACTTTCCACCACCTAGTTCAATATTTAGCATGAGAATTAATTGATAGATATATCCCTATTTATATGAAGTGTAAGCAGTCCCACACTACTGTTATAGCTACCCCCCTCAAATATTTATTCAGGAAGTACTGCCTTGACACATGGTGATGATAATGTTTGTCTACCACGTTGTTTTCTGTGATGTAGATTTCTATAACAGGAATGTGATGACACAGATTTTGTTATCAGAGGCAGAAGTGAAAACACATTTTTTCTCAGAGTTCCTTTACAGTTAATTAAAAAAAAAGGGGGGAAGGGGCAGGGGGGGAGGGGGGAGGAGGGAGATGGGGGAATTTAGGTGATGGGTGTTTTGTTCTAAGATGTCAAACAAGAAACAGGTAAAGCATATTACTATTTCTAAATAATTGCGTGAAAAGACTGTGTTTGTTTATATCAATTATAACTACACAACAGCACTTGAAATGGTTGCTTGAGGAGTACTGGTGCTGTTATTCTTCTACATATGATGGAGTCATAAACATTTATAAGACAAAATAGTAACATAATAAAAGTAATTTTGTATGTTTGAAATTCAATGGGTGACACATTTAAACTTGAGATATGACTTTTATAACCATTTGGCAACTGTAGCTAGTTGCCTGCAGAGAATATTCATATTAGAGCTGCAAGGCAAACGGAGTGTAAAAGATAAAAATTGTTTTATTTTTACAAGTAGCTCAGGGTAATTTTTACTTTATTGAGTACAGTTGAAGGAAAATTTCTTGCATGGCAATATTTACTTCGGGCTGTTTCTGTTCAATAGTACACTAATCTTCTATGGAAAATTAGAACTTCTTCAGTGGGAAAATTCAACCCATTATTTGAAATTAATTATTTTTCATATGAATTGATTTGATAACTTCAGTGACTTCATGTTTCACAGATGAGCTCTCCATCTTCAAGAAACATTGACCCACTCATTAATAATCTTATCTCTGTACGGTTAACAACATAAATTATTGTTTCCAGAATAAAGAAGGAAACAATAGATGTATATTTTCAAAAGCCTTTATATTACTGTTAGTGAATGTTTTGCTTGTCCTTTAAACAATCTTGAAAATCTTTACATGCAGTAGTTCTTACTCTCTTGTACAGCTTTTCCCTGTGAATAATAAGGCATTTTATGGGAAAAACCTAGCTGTGTAGGTACTAGTGTAGGTACTTTGGTATGTAAGTATGGCTACTAATATCAGATTATCGCATTTCTGGTAGCTTTTATTTCAGTACTGTGCTCATAACAAGCCCAAGAGTGGTGTGCTTGTGGTTTCAGGGAAGCTTTGCCTGATAGAAGTTTCTTTATGAAACCTTTTTTGCTCAGCCTTCCCTCTGGTAGGGGTACCCTTTCTATATATACTTTTGGTTCCCCATGAAAATAAAAATACTGTTGCTTTCCTTTGGCTGCAGATCTAAAACTTCTGAAGGAAAATCTACTTTGTTTCCTGCAAAATCCCAAAGGCACTGTGGCTCTTGTGTTTTTGACCTTATACAGACACCTCAGCAGAGAAAGCAGTAAAGGCATTGAAGCAAAAGTGAGTAAAGGTGAATGGCCTCTGCAAAAGAACAAAAACATTTAAGCTCAGTTAGGTGACAGTGAAATTTTTGGCAGATGATGTGTTCTTAAACTCAATTGAGTTAAACTCAATTTGGAGCTGTGTTACTGCTGGATGGAACATACCCTTATTGCAGAAGAACTGAATGCATTCCTGGATGTCACTGGCACTGAGCGAAAAAGTAGCAATAGGAGGCTATTTACAACAAACTTTAAATCATAAAAAATACCATGGAACCTGGTAATAAATTTTATCTAGTGCATTTTCTGCATCTAATAAAAATTATTCAGTTACTGAATATTCTTCAGAAGTCTATTGTTCTTCCTCAGCAGCAGAAAGACAAACTAGTTTTACTCCTGTTGACTGCATACAGGAGCTCTGTTTTGGTTCTTTTAAAAGAGTCTTTTTTTTTTTTCTTTTTGTTTTGTTTTGTTTTGTTTGTTTGTTGTTGTTGTTGTTGTTGCTTCCAGTCTTGCTGCTAGTTTCACAAGAACTTACTTCATTTCCATGAGACCGATTCTGTCAAAAGTTTGCACCCACCAATTCTCTACAGTCCTTAGAGATGTTTCTGAGTCATTTTGTTTAAAAAATTAAGCCAATTAATATAGAACTTTATAACTCAGATGTGATTCTGGAACACAGAATTCTTGAAAGAACAGACAAATTCTGGCAACACAATTTAGGTGAGATAAACTTAAGAAATCCAATGATAACATCAGTGTATATCTAGAATACAGATTTTGACAACACCAATGAAAATAGGTAACTCACTGACGAAGCCAAAGGAACACTTCTTAACTGAAAGCCTAAATAGTGATTGAGTTACATATATAACAAGTAACAATGATGTTTTCAGTTTGGAAGTGTGATCATGTCAAATGGAGTTTAAAATAAACGCTGCTCCTGCATGGAAAGAACAGTAAACAAACAGAACACACCAAAGAACTGAACATTACAGTTCTCTTTGCTCACACTCTGCATGGAATTTCCCTCTTCAAAACAAATTAAGAAATTTATTGTCATGAATGGTTCGTAGGAAAATATATGGAGTTTGTCTTCTTGGGACTTCACCTTAAGTGGGGGTTATTTGGGCATACTTTTTTTCTGCAATGTTTCCTGCAGGGTGAATGGGACTTACCTGGGCATGCATAATGGTTGTCAGCATAGTCCTCCCACTTATGATCTTTTACGTCTTTCTTTTCCCCTTTCACAACTGAGCACATAATTGATATCCCAGGAAACATTTGTCCTTGAGGGCAGGCTTAACAGGAGTGTTAATTTAGGTGTACATAATACGATTGACCTGTGTGATCAATATAAAGAATAGGAAAAAAAAGAATAAGCATGTTTCTACGTGTTCAGATAAAGTTATCGCTCTCTTGGACTCCCTATCAAACTTCCTGAAGAATTTAGTGGAAATCAAGACAGATTCAAAGACCCCACCACCCAAAAAAAAAATCAAACTGCACTCAAAAGTCACACCTGCCACAAAACACTAAACACAAGAAATAATGAAGAGACTGAAAAGTACCAGTCAGTCTGAAGCCCTAAAAAAAAATTGTCTGTGGCTACTACTGTAGTGCTGCTCAGAGATGGTGGCTTGTTGTTTCTCTGTTGTCAACAAATCACTGAAACTGGGTAGCAAAGAGCGCAGCTTCTTCCCATCTAGTGGTTGTCCATATTGAGGAATGTTACAGCCAGCTGTGCGTTGGCTTAAAAGGTGGAAGTAGAGAATCTAAAACTAGACTTGTTGATTTAAGGGAGCTGAACTCAGTTTGTTACTATATGATTCTTCCCTTTCACTTTTGTTTTAAAATGTCAAGAAGCACTGTGGATCTCTCAAGATATATACATGTTGCTAGAAGGGTGTATTTAGTAATGGTCATGCTTGTTAGCAAAACCCAGGAAACCAGGGTTGTTAGCACAAGTATAATTTAACTGTCTAACTGTGCACTTCTTGATGATTTCTTTATTCAGTGATCACATTTCTTTTTCCAAGACAGTAGGTGAGTTTTACTGCACAGGATACATCTCTCCAGTGCACAGGGATGAATTGAGGTCATGTAGCAGAGGCTCCTGGGTCCATGCCTCATTTGATAACGAAGCTGAGTGTTATGCAGAGAATAAGAGAGATGGCAGAGAGAGAAAAGACACTGAAGCTTAAGGAATATAAATGTAAGTTGGGGAAATTGGTTTCTATACCTGTCTCTGCCACAACGTTGATATATGAGAAAGAGCAAATTAAGCAAAAATCTTCTGAAGTGGACATTGAAAGTGCATTATCTAGGGATCCAACTTATGATACCTGAAGACTTTTTAATAATTGCTGAGTAATCACAGCTGCAGGCAGATTTGCCTGTACAAAAATCTGAAAGTTGCTTGGAAATGTGCTATGAATATATAAATTGCTATGAAGATATTTTCTTTATCTTACAGGCACCAAAGCATTTCAAACCTACTACTTCAAAGTTAATAATAATTAAAATCTCATAGTTTGTTCACTAGCTGTAAAAATAGAATAATAAAATTTAATCTTTAACCATCTTCTTTTTGTATTAAAATCTGTGCCCACAGAGAAAGAGTTGATATTGTATTCACTGTTTGACTAGAGTAGCTGGCAGATCTAATGACTAATATTGATTAAAGAGTTAAGAAGGTTGATCAAGGATATCAAAAACCTTTTAGAAATCATCTTCAATTACAATATCAAAAAAAAAAAAGTTTGCTTATATTCAAATTGATATTTTTCAGTTTTTTGAACAGTTTGGTTCAGACAAATATTTTTCATTTTTAATGGTCTGGGTATTATATGAAATGGAATAATAAAAGGTCTTGCTTCTGTCAACTTTGACTTGATAATGTCTTATGTTGTCAAGGCTGTGAATCAGCTATTACTCTGAATCATGGAATCAATGTATGGGAGCAGTGGGAAGTGACCTCTGGATATGGTCTAGTCCACCCTTTTTATCAAAACAAGCTCAGCCAGAGCAGTTTGCACGGAGCTGCAGTGTCTTTCTCCCTCTCTCATTTTGCCCCACCCCTCTGGGGTCCCTCCATAACCCTCAGCTACATGCTCTCAACTTGCTCATTACCAAGGCAGAGCTCCATTCATTCTTACTTCTTTCTCACATAAATGGTCTTTGCAATCTTTCATAATTGGTATCATAAAAAAAAAACAAAAACACATAATACCTTTGCAATGTTCACATCAGCAGCATGCTTATCAGAGGGTTAGGGTTTTATGCTAAACTGTGGTTTTAAAACACTTTTTCCATTAGAATGACACATTTTCCATTAGAATAATTTTCTTCTCAGTGGTAGTCCCAATTTATGTCTTGTTCTTGCAAGACATGAGAAAGACTTTTCATAGTGGAACTAAGAAAACTCATGACAGGGGCTCTCTGGTCTCAAGACCGAATGTCAGATGTTGATACAATTAATCAAGCAAAAAGACAAGGCTACATAGCAACTTTTGATATCAAGTGCAGATGCATATATGCCATATGGCATATTTCTATGGGTGAAGCATGTAGTGACAAAATTATATGGGATATAGAGCACAGTACATTGTTAAAAGATCTGGCTTCTATGTATTTTCTGTGTTGGAAGAGATACTCCCTACAATGCACTTCAGCTGGTCTAATTTACTCAGCTAAACAGAAATG